GGTCTTTTACTAACTAGGATCTCTTATATTCAGCTCCAAACTTTTTCATATAGTTCTTAATGTACTCTTTTGTTTTGATTTTGACAGAGTCATTGCACTGCAATGAGTCATCTTCTTTTAAGTGGCTCATCTCCTTATTCAGGATTCCGTGCGTTAACTGCGGAAGAAAAGAACGTTCCTCAGCATAGTTAATTTCAGAAAGAAGACACTTGAAATAAAATTTATCTGACCCCCCCTAAGGCTCTGTAGTATTCGAGTGATTCCCCCCTTTTCTGTAGCCCCCCCCCCTCCTTTAATACTCTGTTCGCGGCGACTGATAGAACCACCTTGTTGAGCAAATTAAAACATTACCATGCGAGCGACAATTTTCAGTATTTTTCATTTGGACGCTGTAGGCCAGAGTTTCATCCACAGACTTGCAAAATTGGATCTAATTCACTTTGTAAATACTACCGACTCAAGTAACGCTGACTTGATTTCTACAAAATAAATTAAGAATTAAAAGGTTCAGCGAGAGAAACACACACCTTCCTTGCCAAATACTTGAAATCGTCAGTATTCAGGATCCTGCCTGATTTACAGTCAACTTTGAAGAAAGGATTTAGGCAGTTAACGACCACATTAGAAAGCTGCGGAGAGAAATATTGAAAACGAAAATACACCAGTTAGTAAACAGATATACAGTACATCCGAAACACTGCTAGAATTTACATGAGTGAGCAAAACAACAGGAATAATATGGTTCTGAAACCGATAAAAATTGCGTGACATGTTGAGAAAGAGGCCATGGCGTAACACTGGCCTCACAGGCTCTGGGAAGGTAACGTCACCACTGAGACGGACTCAACTGACCTTCATTCTAAAAAGCTCTCTGTTCTTGCTCTGGTGTGACGAAGAGCTGCTTGAGGTACCATCTCTCAGCAAGTGATCCCCCCTCCTGTGTGCAGTGGTATCTGCTGGAGCTGTGGTATAAGTAAGCGTCGGGCTTTCAGGGGGGGTTTCCGGAGGTGTTGTAGGAGCCTTTGCTAATTTCTTTATTTTGGGTTTTGGTGGTGAATCCTGGAGGAATAACAAGAAGAGTTGACTTCAGATTTCATTCTGAGTGGACAAGGAAGTAGTTGCCCCAATCAAGCTGCTGGTTTGCCTTACCTCGTCCATATCAACGTAGCTGTGAGCAGAAATACTTGTATGATCAGGTTCTGGGACAACATAAGGGTGTTCTTCCTCTGATGAAGGGCTGCTGTCCCAGCTTGGAACATCCCACTGGGTTTTCCTACGAAAAGAAGGAAAGTTAAATATGAGGATCACTGAGTTAGGGGGGGGGGGGGGGG